TGTGGCCCAGACTGGTCTTGAACTCACAGCCATCCTCCTGCATCAGCCTCCCAAGTGCTGGGTTACAGACATATGCTACCATACCTGACCAGAGATTTCATCTTAATTCACAAAGAATAGCTATCATCAGATAACAACAAAAGCTGGTGAGGCTACAGGAAAAAGGGTACCTTCTTACATTGTTGGTGGGAATGTAAATTAATACAAACACTACAGAAATCATGATGGAGACTTCAAAACACTAAAACTTGAAATTCCATTTGACCAAGTTATTCTCCTTCTAGGTAACTTTCCAAAAAGTTAACAATATCATGCAATGATAACATACATACAGTGTTATGGTTTGTGTCTAGATGTGCCCCCAAAGCTTCATGCAGTCATCGGATGGCCTTCTAGAGTTTTTGATTCACAGTCCAATGCTGGGATTATGGATGTGAGTGCAACACCCACCCCAGGGCAGGTAGCTTGCACACTATATAAGGGAAAAAGGTTTGCTCTTTTCTGCTCCTCCCTTTTTTGCTCTCCTTACTTTTGTTGTCTTTCACCAGTATGAACTGATGTCCCTCTGCCATGTGCCACTCTGCCTTGGGCAAGCCCTGTGAGCTTAATAAACCTCTCCTTCCCAAATTTTAGGTGTTGAGTATTTTGTCTCAGCAACAAGAACGAAGTAGGGGACAACCTGTTCAGGGACCTCCTTTTGTCCTACTCTAGGACAGGAGCTTTCTTTCCCCCAATAAATATATTCTACTCTTAAGAAAAAAGTAACTAAAACACCATGTTTATAGCAGCACAATTCAAAATAGCTCAATCCTAGAAATGGTCTATATCCAACAACAGAAGAATAGCTAAAGAAAACATGGTATTTATACACAATAGAGTACTATACTTCCATATACAAGGATAAATTTAAGTCATCTGTTGGAAAATGGATGCACCTTAAAGTGCAGTAAATCAGACATACAAGCTTTAACACCATGGAACTTCTCTGGTATGAGAAACCCAAACTAAAAATGACTCTAAAAACAAAATAAAAGACAACAGGAAATAGAAAGATAGGTCTTTTGCAAATGGGAAAGAGATCTAGAGACAAATTGGGGGGACAGAAGTGGAGAGGTAGGGAAATAAAAAGAATTAAGGTACATTAAGTACATGCACTTACTCTCTAAGAATGGAAACTATATACTATAAACATGTACTAATAAAAAACATTTTTAAAAAAGTGTGGATTCAGCTAGGTATCATGGTATATGACTATAATAGCAGTTTTGGGGAGGGTAAGGCAGGAAGATGGAAATTCAAGGACAGCTTAGACAACA